GGGGGGGTGGTTGTATAAGTGACAGGAGGGATCGACTCTCAAGGAAATTACCTTTTTTGTTTACAGAATGTTTGCTTAACAAACGATATTTTCAGATATTAGTTTGTGTTAATAAAATGTCCGGGGAAGCTAAGAAGCGTAAGTTTGCCGGGAAAGGAAAGGGAAAAAAGGAAAATGATCTCATTAATGGTATTATTGAACCAGGTATTTGCTCTACATACAGAGGTTAACAGTTTTGAAAAGCACATCACTCCATTTTTTTGTAAATTATTAATTTCCTTTAGACAACAATTTTATATTTAAATATAAACCAGCTACCCCCTTCAATTTTGTGGCTGTTTATCCTGCAGTTCACAGTGTAGCTGTTTTTTTCTCACCCAAATGTTTTATGCATCTCTTAATTTTTGATTTTATGTGATAACTCATAAGTGTTACTGTTCAGCTATATCTTCTAAATATAATGAAGCTCTTCGCTCATATATATTTGTATATATATATATATATATGTTAGCTATAGCTGGCCAAACGGCTGGACCAAATGGGCGGAGGACATTTTTGAGGAAACCCATGGGTACCCTAGGGGTAACATAGACTTAAAAAAATATTCAGACTTAAAAAAATATCCAGACTTAAATATCCAGACTTAAAAAAAGGATATTTTAAGATTTTTTTCTTAAATTCCACGGGCAACGCCGGGCACTTCAGTTAGTGGAATATATAATATATTACTAGCTGAAAACCTGGCGTTGCCCGTCGAAAAAAAAAATCGATTTTTTAGCCTATGTTAACACCCACAGGTTTCCTTTAAAAGTTTCAGCCAATTCGGTCCAGCCGCTTACATATGTACAAACATATATATTAACAAGGCTTTTAATTGCACGGCTTTATATGTGAGCATCTTCTCTTTGAAAAGTATTAAAGAAAAGTTTGCGGATTTTCTAACGTTTTTTCGCTTATTTTCAAAATTTTACAAAAATAAAAAACTGTTAAACACAAATATTTGAAATTTTATTATTTATTAACCTACCTTGGGTCACATGAGGTCCCACACAAAATTTGGGCCCGTTTGGTTCCGCCGTTTTGACTTTTATTAGATTCAAACAGACAGACAAGCAGAGCATATATACAGATGAGGCTGATATATAGACTAATACACAAACGTCATACATACAATTATTACGCTTTGCTTTATTTAAAAGATTGAAGTCAAAATTTTGGTTTATCGACTCAAAAACTAGTTTTAAAAACGTTAGTCAAGATTTATAAGATTTCAGATTTAACTGTTATATCTCAGTTCCTCGATTTTTCAATTCTTATAGAATTAAATCAAATGAGTTATCTAAAAAATGATAAATTCCGGCTTTGGATCCGGGTTCACTCTTGGATACGGATCCGCAACAAAATGAAATTAATTCTTTGAATTTATGTTAAAATTTAATATTTAGGAAGAAGTAAAGGGGGATTATCGGACAGTGGTCCAGGGATCTGTGTTAAAACAATGTTTATTATTATTTTTGCTTCCTTTACTGTTGCAGCAACAGTATTTTTCACAGGGTACAGGTGAGAACTTTTAAACTTTTCTTTAAATCAGATATTTAATAATAGAGGTGTTTTAGTTCTCTTCCTTGACAGAAGTATATTTATTTTAAAAATTTTATTTCACTCTTTTTGTGAGTAATCTGTTTTCTTCTACATATGGGAAAATTTGGACTTGAATTTTTCAAATTCACTGTAAGCGTTATTTCAAGTGACCCTCCTAGCATAGTTGGCATTGTTCGATTTACAACGGTAACCTTTAAAGCTTCTTCTAATCAAGAATGAATAAGAACTTTGAAGTTTTTGTTTTTGAAAAATAGAATTTTGTGTTTGTGGTTTCTCTGCAACATCAGTTACTTGCGCATTTCTTGCTTGAAAGAAATGACTAGAGTAATTATGAGAACTATAAACAATTACGTTATCTTCCACATTTTTGATCAGATTAAGGATTCAAGGGTACTGATGTAAATCGGGCATTGCCATATTTGCATGGAGGGGCAGTCCAGAGGTCTATATTAGTTGTGAGACTCATATTTTTTTCCCTAAATCCACAATTTCAATTAAAAACTTTTGGATTTTAGTTGTATAATGGAGCGTTTTGGGGTCCTAAAAAAGTCAACCAACTTCAAGGTCCCCCTCTTGAGTTTTTTAAACATTTCTGATGCTGTTTTAAAAAAAAATAAAAATGGTGGATTTTTCCCTTTCCTCTTCCTCCTTTTCCCTTTCCCCTTCTTCCTTTTCCCTTCTTTCTTGCCCCTTTTCCCTTCTTTCTTGCCCCTTTTCCCTTCCCCTTTGCCCCATTTTCCCTTCCCTCCTTTTGCCCCTTTTCCCATCCCTCTTCCCTTTTTTCCCTATCCTCTTACTATTTTCCGTTTCCTCTTCCCCTTTTCGCTTTTCTCTTCCCACTTTTTTCTTCCTTTTTCCCTTCCCCTTCCCTTTTTTCTTTTCCCCCTCCCTTCCCCCGTTTTTCTTTTTTGTTCATTTTTTCCCCAAACCCAATGAAAGCTCATATTTTTGAGGGGGTGGGGAAAAACAGAAAATATACACTCCTGAGGATCACTTAAAATTTCATTTGCAGTCCTTTCAAGCTTTTATTAAATTTTATCTAAATTTATTCAATTTTTTATTATGTAATAATATGGGGGTAAATATCAATTAAAACGTCGGTAACATCGGATATTAATATTTAATTACAGGGGTATTAATTTCTTTTTAAAATATATTTCCCGGGCGGAAATTTTTCTCTGTAGGAAATAATGTTTAGAAATATTGAGGGGGGAAAATTGGACAGCAAAAAGCAAATTTCTTCTACTCTTCGCTCAAAAATTTTATTTTTTTCGTTAAAATAATTTGTTCCCAATTCAGTAAATAAAAGTTTTTAAAAAATTATTGAGCACTATGGAATCATAATTAACTTCTGGGGTCTAAACTATTTTCAAAGAGAGATCGAGGGGGGGGGGGGGCGGAATGATTAGTCAAGAAAATAAACACTTCTGAATCATCTTATGTTCACCTTAACATTTTTCATCATTAACAGTTGTTATTTTTAGACAAGGGGATTTAAATGAATTGATGGGGAAAGTTCCCCCTGAAGTGTGGGAAGCTAAATCAGTTGTTGAAACAGAGTTCAATAAACTAACGGCATCAGGTAATTAAATTCATAGGTCATAGAGTACATTTAGTTACAGTACATAGTAATTTGAAGAGTAACCCTAGTGCACAGTACAGTACATAACCTATCATAAGACCAATTGTTTACTATGCAGTACATCTATTGTACACTACATGTCAGTACATATACGCGGTACATACAGTGAGAACCAAAAACTCTGGATTAGGAAGGTGACAAGCAGCTAAAGTATATTGGATGTTTGAAAAAAATGCATGTTTATAAATCTATGATGTAAAATAATGGGCCTGTTTCCACTGCACAATTCTCTCATGTCTCATGTTTATTTGACTAATTGAAATCTTAGCTTGCATCTAAACGTTGTTTTCCTATCCCAGAGGTTTCTGGTTCCTATAGTACACATTTGATTGATTAATTGATTGTTATTGATTGATTAATTGATTGATTTGAAGATTGATTGTTATGTTGATTGATCGATTGTTATGAAGATTGATTATGTTGATTGATTTGGGGATTGATTGATTGATCAGTCACCCATATTGATCAAGTAAAATGTACAGTGTTACAGTAAACAATACGGTATTACTTATTTTAAACATGAATTGTGAAGATTTGTTATCATGTTATATCAACACTGTCAAAATATTTTTTTAACTTAAACATGCGTTAGTTGACTTAAATTAATTAAAATTGAATAGGAAACAAATGAAAACTTTGACATCAAAAGGAAACTATTTCCATTTTTTAAAAACATTTCAAATTCCTAATTTTCCTCAATTCAGTGAATAAATCCCTCCAAACAAAATTTGGGAGGGGGAAGAAAAATTATTTTTTTGAGATAAGATACATTCCTGTCTAAAATATTTCCTAAAATGGATGAACAAGTTTCAGAATATTATTTTCAGATCTTATTTTGAAATAATTTGTTTTTATGAAAATAGAATACACGAAAGTTTCGTAGAAAAAATAGGGTAATAACATTTTCTCATTTTTCAAAATAATCAATTTTGTTCAAAAAATAGCTTCAAAAAACAAACAAGCCTACGAAAATGATAATGAAAGGGTAAAAATAACGTAAAATGAAATCAGGAACATCCAATTTACAACGGTACTCCTTCATTTTACCAATATTGTGACAGGTATCGTGGTTAATCTAAATTGAACAACGATCTGACAATTTCCTCCATTGTTTTTGAAACAGAAATGCGCACTTAACTCCAACACTCCAATGAAAACTCTATGCATTCCTGATCAGAGAAAGCTGCCGAGGGTTATGAATAAAACATGGTTCTCTTTGCCTGGAGATTCATTTGAAATTACGTCTACAGTCCCTTTAAATCTAATTTTTAATATTTAAGTTGGAAAGACGGTTGGACCGGGTTGGGAGAAGTTGAAGAAGGAATCTGGTCCCTACCTGGAGAAGGTTAGAGTCGGAGCTGCTCCCGTCCTTGATCAAGTTTCAAGTGCTGCAGGAGCTGCAAAGGTTCAACTAGTCCATGTAGCAGACGCAGTTCTCAGGAATATTCACATTAATATATAAAACGAATAAAATGGGGATGTCAGAGGAGGGGGGGGGGGGTTAAGAATTGAGGATAGGGTTTAATTATAGACGTTTGTGTATATAATAAAGCTCTTCGCTCATTAATATGCAAGCTAAAGCTGGCCAAATGGCTGGACCTAATTTTAAACAAGATTTCGTCATTTTTAATAAGTTGACATTTATTCAAAGTTTTTCAAAATTCCACGGGCAATGCCGGGGATTTCAGCTAGTTATTAAGATGCGATGCAATGCAATGCAATGCAATGCAATGCAATGCAATGCAATGCAATGCAATGCAATGCAATGCAATGCAATGCAATGCAATGCAATGCAATGNGAAGAAGCAGCTGCAAAGAAGGCCGCCGAAGAAGCAGCAGCGATAAAGGCCGCCGAAGAAGCAGCTGAAAAGAAGGCTGCTGCAGAAGCAGCTGAAAAGAAGGCTGCTGCAGAAGCAGCTGAAAAGAAGGCCGTCGAAGAAGCATTAGCGAAGAAGGCCGCCGAAGAAGCAGCTGCAAAGAAGGCCGCTGCAGAAGCAGCAGCAAAGAAGGCCACCGAAGAAGCAGCAAAGAAGGCTGCCGAAGAAGCAGCCACAAAGAAGGCAGCCGAAGAAGCAGCAGCAAAGAAGGCAGCTGAGGTAGCAGCAGTAAAGAAGGCTGCCGAAGAAGCTGCAGCAAAGAAGGCTGCCGAAGAAGCTGCAGCAAAGAAGGCCGCTGAAGATGCAGCAACTAAGAAGGCCGCCGAAGAAGCAGCAGCAAAGAAGGCAGCCGAGGAAGCAGCATCAAAAAAGTCTGCTGATGAAGCAGCAGCAAAGAAGGCCGCCGAAGAAGCAGGAGCAAAAAAGTCTGTTGAGGAAGCAGCAGCAAAGAAGGCCGCCGAAGAAGCAGCAGCAAAAAAGTCTGTGGAAGAAGCAGCAGCAAAGAAGGCCGCCGAAGAAGCAGCAGCAAAAAAAGCTGCTGATGAAGCAGCAGCAAAGAAGGCCGCAGAAGCAGCAGCTTCAGCTAAGAAGGCTGCTGATGAAGCAGCAGCTAAAAAAGCAGCAGAAGATGCTGTCCTGAAGGCTGCCGAGGAAGCAGTAAAGAAAGCAGCTACTGAAGCTGGAGCAACGAAGTCAGCTCCTGAGGATAGAATAAATGCCGCTGCAGATATAGCTTCTAAAAATAAGGAACTGGAGAAAGAAGCGATGAAGCGGGCGGAGGAAGAATTGCGAATGGAACGGCAAATCAATAAACTTAATGAGGAGGCGCAAAGCGAACTCAAAGCAAGACAAGCTGACGCGGAGAAAAGGCATAAGGAAGCCAAGGCGAATCTGGAGAAGAGCGGAGCGGAGTTTGTTGGTAGAGAGGAGTTCGAGAAGTTAAAAGCTCGTAAACAAGGAGCATGAAAAATATATTCTGAACCGTGTCAGATAACAACTTTATAAACAAAATTTGTCTATATTGAATCCACTATCCCTAAGATCTAAGATAGACACTATTTTAGAGGTTTAAAGGATATGTACCAAGTGTCGTTTAAAAGACAATTAACACGAGCATTTCATTTCTTAAAATTTCGGGATTAATACTTCTTGTATTAAGTGAAGAATAAAGATCTCCCGAAATACTCGTACTTGATATGTGTAAGTAGCACCAACTATAAACTTTTCTATTTTCTCTAATATGCGACATTGAACATCGTAATGAAATCGCCAAATTAATTGCCAATCGTTCAACTCGACCTCTATTAAGTCCTTGATTTTTGTTTTTACTGGCCTACAAACAAACGTTATGATATGTGTGCTCAATTAAGAATATTGTTTGCAGAGATATGTATATTTCAGCTAAAAAACAGTTATTTTTTAACCCTGTTGAATTTCCGTAATTTTCTTTTTTCTATGCTGTTGCTTAAATCCGCAAGCCACTACTAAAGACAACCTTTTATTTTAATACAAAAAGAGAGAGTACTCGCACAATTTTTTATCTGAAAGGTTTATAGGTTTACAATCGTGCATCACTCTTCAGAGCTTTGTCCAGCCTCAAGTGAAAATAGGAATTTCTGCCCCAATATGTAGCTTTGTATTATGCTCTTTTTTAGTTAAATCTTAACATTCTCGAAACTTCTGTTGAATCTCCTCTGTTAGCATTTCAGGAGCTTTAACGTGTCTTATTACTAGGGAAGCCGTAATATATCGTAACTGTTCTTTTCTACACCATTGCTTTCAAGGTTGCAATTTCCAACAATAATAACTTCACTTAAAAAACGCGTGATTGTGCTAGGCAATAGTTGATAATTTTCAGTGAAAAACTACACTGGATCGGTCTACGGGGAGGG